GGGATTACAGGCATGCACCACCACGCCCAGCCTCAATTGCTGTCTCAGCACGCCCCAGGGACAGGGCGGCACTGCAGGCTGGGGAATTGAACTGGCCCCTGCGCCTGCTTGCAGGTGGTTTAATCCACTGAGCTATTTGGCTGGCCCTTAGTTCTTGTTTTGACAATGGGATGCACTTGATGTGGAACAGTTCACAAGACTTCAGAGAAATTTCAAGCAGTGATTAAAAAAAGTGTTCTAATTTGCTTACATAGTGAACTGTTTCAGACTGCTGCAATATAGTTAGACTACATCTTTGTCACTTTGATCCTTGATGGAAAGAAAAACACATTTCTGAGCTATTGCATGTTAAATCTACCTCTGCTCATTCATGAATGATTTGCTAAAGTCTTGGTACAAATCAGCATGGAGAATTTAGACCATGACAGGTTACAGAGAGGGTTCCAGGCCCTGAGACTAGTGGCTACCTTCAGCCATCCTGCGTAGAAGAAGAACTGGAGGAGAGTAAAGATTGGAATGTAGAGATCTAAGTCATGCCCTGCGTAGCCTTTGGTGGGATCCAGAAACTGGCGTCCAATCAGGCAGGCAAAGAAGAAGGTGTAGACTGCGAGAGTGACAACCTGCAACAGAGAGAACCTGGGTGAGCGGACAGCGCTGCTGTCCATGGGAAGTTGGAGGGCCAAGCTGGGTAAGCAGAGCTAGCTAATAGCATCTGATACCTGGGTGTAGACCAGCGGGATTCCAACCCAATCATAACCGAATAGGAGGCTGCACCAGGAGCGGTACCGATTCATTTCCTATGGCGGAAACAGACAAGATAGGATTTGTTGAAATGACAGGTGTGGTAATAAGTATTGACTGGGACTCAAGCAGTGTCTGAAAGGGTGGGACAGGCTTTGTAAGGCTAGAAAACTGGCTCCCAGGGCTACTTTCCAAGCACGTTCTAAAGCTGGTGTGTATCAAACATCACTGAACAGTGGGCAAAAAGAGTGAGGACATTTAGATACACATACAGTATTTTTAAAATATTAAGATTGGATGTTGTAGAAAAAGCCTTTAGTCTATCAAATCCCTAATTTTCAACATATGCATTAGCAATAAATGGTGAAGGAAAGGCAATGACTAGTATTTTTGAAAGCAACTTCTTGCTGTCTTAGCAGAACAATTTGGAAAGCATTTTTTATTGTAAAAACATGGTTGCCATAGATCTTAAGAAAGAGCTGGAGACACATCTTGAACTCCTCCCCCCAACAAATGAGGGCTTTAGTCACATCGATAGAAAATCTATTTCTCCTTGGAGAAGAAGGACTGAGACCCATTGATTTCTTTCCTCTATTGAATGCATCTATTATCTAAGACTGGGATGAAAATTTCACCTTCATTTGGGTGCTATTTTAAAACCAGTTAGGCTTTTAGCTTATCTCAGGGGGGAGACTGTCTTAGCACACATACAGGCAGCTTCTTGTGAGTTTGTTCCTGTTTTCTTTTTTTTTTTTTTTTTGAAGAATTTAAATTTATTTCCTTTTTATTTTTTGAATAATTTTATTGAGAAACAAATAGCAATTAGACAGTTTCAAAACTGATTAGAAGGACAGTTTCAATAATCAATACATTGCATATTGTTGTCTCAGTGGTTACTCATTGTACAAGATGCAGACATGATATCCTGTCCACAAACACTATGAGAACAAATCTTCCCATTCACTGAATTAAGAGAAAGTAGCTGTATATCTATCCTAACTATTTTGAATATACAGATACAAAATGGTCATTCATTTGTATCCCCCTTTTTTGTTTAGTTTTGTCAGAGAAGGGTATTCCATTGTCATTTAAATATTGTAGGTGCGTGAATTCAGCAAAATATTCCAATATAGTCCAGTAGTCCATAATAGTAATGGGTTTTCCGTAGGACTGGCAATGTCAAAAGTTGTTGACTTGAGCCTTTTATAGCTCAGCACATTTTGGCCCTAGCCTTTCAAGGTCAGTGAAGACCTATACTGTAACATTCTATAACTCAGTTGTGTCCCAAATTTTCTGATCAAGGAGATTATGAGGCCAAGGAGGAAAGTGATCGATGATGTAGAGTGTGCCTAAGGAGAGTCACATGGCAAGAAAACATTCTCTCAGGCTTTCACAGAGAGCAAATTGGCCAAGCAATGGCTGTGACTCATCCCCATGACTGACACTGACAAAGGATCTACAAACTGCAGTACAGGGTTTCAGGATAAATCCTGAGGGGATTTGACTGACCTTGTCAGATACAGAAGTTACATTTCTTGTTATCTAGGTCTTGCTTTATCTTGGTCTTAACCATCCAGCAGAAAAGTATAAAAATGAAGTATAAAAAGTAAAGCCATATTAATACGTTTCTTAGATGAATTCAGCTCTCTTTCTATTTCTCTCTCTCTCTCTAGCAGAATCCTGAAGCCAGGGAGGAAAAATATGTTGTGCAGGCTCTGCGCCCTCCAGAGCCCTCGGCAGCCCATGGCTAATCAGTCCAGGAGCACTGTTTGCAAAGCCTATCACAGTGTTCTGTATAAAACATGACTTCCAAGCAACTATGACCGAGCAATCTGAGTTCAAGATGTGCACTGTATCCTGCACATTGTGGGTTCTGAAATTAGCTTGATCTTTTGGTTCCTTTGGAACCAGATTGAACAAAACAGACCCTTCCTGACCTGACCACCTATATCCAGGTCCCCAGTGGGATGTCCTCAGCATCTTTTTTTTTTTTTTTCCCCCGGAACCGGGGATTGCACTCAGGCCCTTACACTTGCCAGGGAAGCGCTTATTCCACTGAGCCATCTCCCCAGCCCCAACATCTTGTGCTGATGATGTGTGATGTACTTACAGTCATCAGTGACTGTAGATCAACGCTGTCTCTTATTCTACCTTCATCCCGGGCTTTAGTTGCAAGATTTCCAAACCAGATGAATGGAACCCAGTATTTCAGATGAGGAGATTTGTGATGGTCAAATAATTTTCTTTCATCTGCTGTCATAAAACCTTGAACAAAACAAAAACAGCTATAGATTATACAAACTTAGTTCAGCACTGATACTTTACCATATCTTTAGTTTACCTTGGAAGCATACGGAGGGATACTAAAGAAATACGAGGGTTCCTATCCAAGTAGTTTATCCCCAGATTTTGATTCACTTGGTTATCAGTGTTCTTTTGAATCCTTATGGGTGATTTAGTGGAGCTGGGTCCCGGTGGCTGCATGTTTTCCTGAGCTCAGAGGAAACTCTTTGACATACAGCAATATTGGAAAAAACTCAGTGTCCTGACCAAGGAGGACTTTGTTTGTTCAGTATTTGAAATAAATGGAAACTATTGCAAAGCCAATATTTACCAATGGGAGTCTAGTTTAAGACTATACGCAGGTTATTTGTGCTAGCTTAGAAGGCTTCTGGACAGGCCTGGACAATGGTGTCCTCTATGGAGGGCAAAAAAAGAGAGAAAAGCCTGGTAATTAATTCACTTCTGGCTTCTTTGTACAATGCAGAGTTGTTGTACAATCTAGATCATCTGTTCTTCTATTTGTTCAAAAAGACTTTTAGCATATGATTATGATTATGATTATGATTATTATTATTTTGTTGGAATCAGGGATTGAATTCAGGCCCTTGTGCTTGCCAGGCAAGAGCTTATTCTACTGAGCCATCTCCCTGGACCCAGTTGGGCGATGATTAAATGTTACTTCAAGATGTTAACAGAGAGATAATTTAGAGAGCAAAATAAAAGATGTCAGGAGGCAGGTAGACTTTGTGGAGGTGAGAGGAAATGTGTGGAGGGAAAAGGAAATAAAATGCCCAAGATGTGTTGTGTGTGTGTGTCAGCCTCTCAAGATGAGTGTAATGATCATGTAGCACAAACATAGGCAAGTGTAAAATGTAAAAAAGAGAGAAGTGAAGGCATGCATTTGACCTGTCTTGGCTTTACGCCTGAAGATTTGCTGCAGCTGTTCTTTAGCTGGAAACCTATTTGCAGATATTTCATATCAACTGTCTAATAGTTATATTCTCAGAATTTATAGTGTAAATTCCACAAATGATTCCACTTATACACTGCTTGCAATCTCTGCAATTTGACCAAAGAATAACTTTGTCTCTAGGTACTTTTTATTCAGGGGCATGGATCACACTGTGCTAGCACCTCCATTCCCGGCTTCTGAGTAGAAAGCAAATATACAGAGTGAAGGGTTATTTAGTACAAATACTAAGGCAAGAGTCCCTCCCTCCATGTAGAACACTGTCCTGCACCTGCCCTGGATATGGGGCATTGAACCCAGGGCCTCACGCATGCTAGGCAAGTGCTCTATCAATGAGCTACATCTCCACCCTCTAATGAAATTTATGTAGACAGAAAGTCTCACTAAGTTGCTCAGGCAGACCTTGAAATTTTAGTCCTCTTGCCTCAGCTTCTTGTGTAGCTGAGATTTTTGGTGTGTACTGCTTTGCCTGGCTAGGACATCTATTATTGGAACAACCAGTAGAGGAAAGGAAGCCGGTAAGTTTTCAGCCTGAATTTATTGAAAGGTGTATGATGGCTCAGATATTAATCTATCCTCTAAGAGTACATAGGTGGAGCTACCTTTGTCATTCCTTACAGGGTCACATATTTTATTCAAAGTAATCTCATCTTTGGGAATCAAATTACATAGTTATTTGAAAGAAAATGCTTAGATTGTTGGCCAAATCCACTCAAAGAGCATTTTTAATGAAACAGAATTTGGTCTTCCTCACAACTTCAAGTAATATTAACCAAAGAGCAATACTTTTTTCAGAATCGGGTCATTAACTCAGCATTAAGGCTATGTTAATTACAGTTATTAAGGTGCTGCAGTTTGATAGTCTATCATTTGGCTGGTCTCTTGCCAACCTGTCTTCTTTGAATGTCTGTCCTGATATTATGCTCCTTCAGGTCCTATCAAATCCATGGCTGGCATGGCAATTTAGTCCAGCCATTGTGCATGCCTAGGATTTCTCTCTCTCTTTTTTTTCCCCATAATTTTCCTAGGATTTCTCTTGCCATTTCTTTTCCTTCTGGCCAGCTCAGCTATGCTCAGCAATTTTCATATTGCTTATCCCCAGAAGTATCTTCTTTACTATTTCTAATCAGAGTAAAACATGTATATCTGTCAATACAAATATATAATTACATTGACTTACAACTTGAGTTATGGATCTGCTACCCGAAGGCAAAATTTTCTTGCCCTCAAGCCAAAGGACAAATTAATTCTATTGACAAACCCATCTGGTCATCAGAGATTATGTCTTCTGTATAGTTGCCTTATCTATTTGTTGGTTGAAGCTGAGGCAGGTGTTTTTTGCCTTTCATGCCTAGAATCCAGTGAGGCTCAAATTGCAGGACCCAAAGGTCTGCATCTGAAAAATTGAAGGCAGAATAGATTTGATGCCAGTCCTTTCTAAAAAAGAAAGTCGTGTGTTCAGCATCTGAGCCCCTTCTTGGAGGAGGGATGACTTTTTCAGGAAGACTGCAGTGTGCCTGCCTTGTTTTCATCTCTGTGTTTTCTAAATATACACAACAAAGCCACCCTTCAACTAAACCTTTCCTTTAAATATAATGCTAGAGGCTTAGACATCCTTGTCAACTGAAAAAGTCAAAGAGAGGCAAAATGAGACCGAGAAAGGGATGGAATCACATCGTGACACATGATGACACATGATGACAGTATTATGCAAATGTTAAGTGCCTAGAACTTCATTTGCCCTCTGTGCACAGATCTCAGGCAATTTGCAGATAAAATTAGAGGGATTAATTGATATGCCCTAGGGCAGCAGTTCCTAAACTTCGCTGCACATTAGAATGGTACTGTAACCCAGGGTCTGAGGGTGGCAGACAGATACCAGTATTTTAAAATTATTCCCAGTGAGTGATTGCAATGTGTGGCAGAGTTTAGGAAAAACTGGCCTAGTCTTGGGCATTTCAGCATTCTTGGTTTGAGGTTTGAGCATCCTGCAGTGCTCCTGGGGTTTTGTAGAAAGGTGCATCCCTTGGTTCTTAAGCCTCAGTGTCTATAATTCCCTAGGCTGCCTGGGAAACTACAATTTACATAGATACCCTTGATATTTCAGTGATTAGGATCTGCAGTCATACTTCCAGAAACATCAAGATGCACGGATTTAAACTCATAAAACATATACATTGCCAAATTTTAATGATTTAATTTAGAATTTGCATTTTTGTTATATTGTTTTTCTTTTTTTCCCCATAATTTTATTGAGAAACAAATAGCAATGAGACAGTTTCAAATCAAATTGGTAGGACAGTTTCAATAATTAACACATTGCATACATTCTTCAAACAGGTAAATAACCCAAGTAAAATAAAGCTAATAAACAAATGAAATTATTCTAATTAGTAATAAAAATGACAAATTGAAGGCAAAGGAGGGTTATTTTTTAATCTGGTTAATTAAAAGCTTTTTATTGTTAATACACAGTTAGAACATATGAAGATTATATATTTACTCTATGCCAGGAAGTCAGTAATGTTTTAAGAATTTGTTAAATTATATAAGAAATTTACAAATGTTCATCTAACTCAGAAAGTCCATGAAGAATTTAGAAGTCAAGAAAAAGTGTTCTACAAAGATATTCATCTTAGCAGAACAGATGAAAAAAGTTAAATTTTTTAAAAATGTGGAATCCTTAAGTTTCTTAGATAAAGCAAACAAAACTAGAATCCAAAATAATTGATGTTCAAATGCTTATAACATTTGAACTGGCATCAAGTAGGAAAAGGTCCTTTAAAGACTGCTCCAAATACGGCTTCTGTAACAGCAATGGAACACCCACCTCTGACAAAAAAAGGGGGGGGATATAAATGAAAGACCATTGTTTAATGAAAAAAAAAGTGTATATGTATGCACAAAATAGGATAGATATACAGATACTTACTCTTAGTTCAATGAGAAGAAAGATTTGCACTAATATTGTTTAGACAAGAGATCATGTCTGCATCTTGTACTGTGAATAACTGCTATGAAGACATTATGCAATGTATTAATTATTGCAAGTGTCCTGCTAACCTTTTTTGAAACTGTCTCATTGTTATTTCTTTCTCACTGAAATTAATAAAAAAATAAACTCATAAAACAGAACTGTGATGGAACGTCAGACACTGGAGACTGTCTCTGGGGCATTCACGCAAGGAGCCGAACACTGCGGTGCACCTTCTCTCCTGTGCAGAGCAAGTGCTCAGAGGCGAATCAAGTTTCACTCACAAGATGACATTTGGTCTGTTCCGGGCTCATCATGTGAGACTGTAGGGGGAACTGACTCAGCCTCTGAAAGTTCAGCCAGCAGGAAAAGCTGGCACCACTGTGCATTCCACTGTCTCGTTGGCCACTTCTCCTGAAACACAGGACAGTTGGAGGTTTCGAGACTAGGGAGTCCCAGAGCCATGAGAGGAGTCAGGAAAATCCATGGCAGACCTCAGGGCAGAACTGCTCCACAGAATTCAATTGATTATACTTAGGAAAGAAGAGACGATCACCAATGAAATGCTCTGTCTATGCCAAAACCTCACACAGGGCTCACCTTCCAGCCAGTGCCTCTAAAGTCAGAACTTGCAACGGAACAACTGCTTGGCAGCTGGGGAATTACTTGGCCACATTGACGTCGTGGAGCTGTAAGAACCACTGAAGTCAATGGCGCCTCATCACTCCCTTTAGTTATAGAACAAGTTCATGGAACTTCATGTTAAGATTTACAGGGTTTAAGAAGAGTAAAGGGTGATTTATTCCTAAATTTACTGACTTCTAGCCACTCTTATGAGCTATCTACTACAGAA